CCGGTAGTGGAAATTTGGAATAGTTTGGAGAACCAGCAAATGCCACCTCTGACTGGCCCTGCCCCCATCTATTCTCTGCCTCGAGTCCCAGCCAATCGTCTGGGTATTCTTTTTTTTTTTGAAACAAATTTTATTAATTTTAAAGACAAACAAACCATCATTAACCATTGAATACATAAAACCTCTTTCCATTATAAACTTTACAAGTCGAATAAAACATTATTTTATACAACATAATTCTATTTTACACCATTTCCATATGAACATATAAATATCTCTTAGCAAATTTCTCATTATTTCTCTTTACTCTTATTCAATTTCATTATTATTATTATTTTTTCCTATATTTATCCAATTTATAGTTATCGTCTTCATTTCTCTCTGACTTGGTTACCGTTGTTCTCATCCAACATTCCTCCAAGGTTTTATTAATTCTCACAGACATAAACACACAGAACACAAAAACATAAAACTTCTTTTAAGAAAGTAACTTGGCCCCAGATTACCTCTCTCTATATGGACTTCAATTAAATTCATGCTCATCTTATATACCATTACCTATCTTATTTACCATTCTATATCTTCTATATAGCTTCTCCCCGCTTTTCACTCTTCTTAATTCTATTTTATTTAATTCATTTTAATTTAAGTCATTGTGCTTGTATCTTTTGTCCATTCCCAAATTATCCATTTATCTCATTCCCTATAGTAAAAAAAAAAGAATTTCTCCTGGAATCACTAATCAGAGTATGATGCCTTTCTATCGTCCCCCTAAATTAACATTTAAAATAACGCCTACTACCCAATATGATTCTGCTTAGTACACTCTACCTACTAATTTTTAAAAAGAAAAAATAATAATAAATCCAAAATAATTAAATACATAATTAAATAATAAATCTAAATATTGAATCTTGTAACATTCCAATTATCTATTTCAAAAACAAATGCTACAGTAATAAGTTTATAATAACATCAACACAATAGTCAATTAAACTCTTTAATTAAACTCAATATTCTAAACATTCCCTTTAATATTTTATTAAATTTTAAAGTCTATCATTACTAAACATTTCAATATTTTAATCTTTTATTAATTCTTATAACATTCTAGTTTTCTATTTCTATTACAAATACTACAATACCATCTTATGTACCTTGCAGAATCTTCTTTTTTATAGAAATTATACATTACCCTTTGTCCCTAAAAAAATTTCCTTTTTTCCCATCTTGTTCAAACCTTTGTGGCTTTCCCCCCCTTTTCCCTTCCTTTCTTATCCCACCTAACCTTTTTACACCCCCCCCTCCTAACCTCTGCCTTGCTAGCTTCCCCTCTCTGTTGTATTCCTTTTTTCTTATGCTTTCCAACATTGTGTTGATTTTGCATCTTATTTTTCTCTTTCTTGGGTGTTTTTTTAAGTCTTAAGTCCTTCATTTTCCTTCCTTTCTCCTTTCTTTCTTAATTAAATTTTTGGATTCATTAAAGATGGCTTCTTCTTCTTCTTCTTCTTCTTCTTCTTCTTCTTCTTCTTCTTCTTTCTCCATCTGTTGTTGTGTTTGCTGATAAATAGCAAGCGCCATTTCTAAAAAACGAAAGACTTTTTTCACAGCATCCTTGCCTTCTTTCTTTATTTTTCCATATTCCTTTCTAAGTTCATCAACAGGTAAAGCCATTGTAAATCTTTTCTTTTTTCTTCTTCTTCTTAAAACAACCAAGATGTTTCAAAAGTTAGAACAGTCCCAAAGTCCCAGAGTCATCAATCAGTCCAAACAAAGCACAAAGTTCTCACTTTCTCTTCCTGGGGTAATATCAATAAAAAGAAAAGAAAAGCCCAATCTGTATTTTAAAGCCTTGTTGCAATTGATTTCTAGTCTCAAAATCTCCAAGGCATCTCCTCCAACAAGATCTCAATATTTATTTATTTATTTTTGTCCTCTCCCTTCCCACTTATCACAAGAAGCCAAATTTTTACCTTCTATCAAAAGACAGGTTTCTCAATATCCATTTGTTGATTCCATAGGGAAGGAGAGTAAACTTTCCTTTTCAGCACCTCAAATTTGCCGCTTAAAATTATCCTCTGGAAACAAAATATCATTCAAAAAGTCATAGCTTTCAGGATGTTAGGTGCGTCTTAAAGTCCTGGGTCAGCCAAGAAAAACTTTCTCTTCACAAACTTTCTCCCTCTTCCTCCTGAACAGTCTTACCCAGCTGTCGTCTTCTTTGTGGCGGCCATTACAGACCGCCGCTCCACCGTCTTGAGAAAAGGGGGTTTTCCCGGCTGGGGAGGGGGTCTGCAACACCCCCAAACCCCTCTCCGGATCCCCCCTGTCTTCGGCTGCCTCTACGGGGCAGCCCCAGCCTCCAAACCCATCCGGATCAGAGGCACCAAGATGGCTAGCGCTGCAGGGATCGCGCAGTATTGCGAATCCCTGCCACTACCGAAGCCGACAAATCGGAAGTTCCCCGTCTGGATATTCTTTTGTTGCTCTGCACAGGACAATGGGAGCTGGAAAGCAGGTTAGTGGGATGGGAAGGGAATGGGGATTTTGCAGGAACCTTCCCCTGCCACGCCCACCAGACCACACCATGCCACGCCACGCCCATAGAACCAGTAGTAAAAATTTTTGAATCCTGTCACTGACTAGATGGTAGCAAAACACTAAGGTTTTTTTTTTTTTTTTACTTCTTACTACCATCTAGTGGTTATCTGGAGTTTTGGTTTTGCAGTTCAGAAATGCCAGCTGTAACCATTGGGCACCTTCATATATTAAACCACAGTTCCCATCGTCCTCAACCAAGTTGATGGAAGGCTGACATAGGGACCCTGCTCCTGCTCCTACACAAAAGCGATCGAATGACATTCTTCGAAGACGTTTATGAAAACAAAACCCAGAGAAGCAATTCAAATGCAAGAATGGAAAATATTTTTGAGTCACCCACATCTCACTTTTTACCATAAGAGGTTAGTTTTGCTCCCTGAAGAGTAAAAAAAAAAAAGGAAAAGAAAAGGGCCCATATCTTTTCCACACGCTCCTCATAACAGCTCAGTACAGAAGAAATAGTTAGGAACTGCCAGGGACATATTCTTGCCTGTTTACACTACAGGTGAAACTCAAAAAATTAGAATATCGTGCAAAAGTTCATTTATTTCAGTAATGCAACTTAAAAGGTGAACCTAATATGTGAGATAGACTCATTACATGCAAAGCAAGATAGTTCAAGCCATGATTTGTCATAATTGTGATGATTATGGCTTACAGCTCATGAAAACCCCAAATCCACAATCTCAGAAAATTAGAATATTACATGCAATCAATAAAACAAGGATTGTACATAGAACAATATCAGACCTCTGAAAAGTATAAGCATGCATATGTACTCAGTACTTGGTTTGGGCCCCTTTTGCAGCAATTACTGCCTCAATGCGGCGTGGCATGGAAGCTATCAGCCTGTGGCACTGCTGAGGTGTTCTGGAAGACCAGGATGCTTCAATAGCGGCCTTCAGCTCTTCTGCATTGTTCGGTCTCATGTCTCTCATCTTTCTCTTGGCAAAGCCCCATAGATTCTCTATGGGGTTCAGGTCAGGCAAGTTTGCTGGCCAATCAAGCACAGTAATCCCACGGTCATTGAACCTGGTTTTGGTGCTTTTGGCAGTGTGGGCAGGTGCCAAGTCCTGCTGGAAAATGAAGCCAGCATCCCCATAAAGCTCGTCTGCGGAAGGAAACATGAAGTGCTCCAAAATCTCCTGGTAGACGGCTGCGTTGACCCTGGACTTAATGAAGCACAGTGGACCAACACCAGATGACATGGCTCCCCAAATCAACACAGACTGTGGAAACTTCACACTGGACTTCAAGCATCTTGCAGTGTGTGCCTCTCCATTCTTCCTCCAGACTCTGGGTCCTTGGTTTCCAAATGAGATGCAAAAGTTGCTCTCATCAGGAAAGAGGACTTTGGACCACTGAGCAACAGACCAGTTCTGTTTTTCTTTAGCCCAGGTAAGACGCTTCTGACATTGTTTGTTGTTCAGGAGCGGCTTGACAAGAGGAATACAACATTTGAAGCCCATGTCCAGGATCCGTCTGTGTGTGGTGGCTCTTGATGCACTGACTCCAGCCTCAGTCCACTCCTTGTGAAAGTCCCCAGCACTTTTGAATGGCCTTTTCCCGACAATCCTCTCCAGGTTGCGGTCATCCCTGCTGCTTGTGCATCTTTTTCTTCCACACTTTTCCCTTCCACATAACTCTATTAATGTGCTTTGATACAGCACTTTGGGAACATCCAACTTCATTTTCAATAACCTTTTGAGGCTTTCCCTCCTTGTGGAGGGTGTCAATGACGGTTTTCTGCACAACCGTCAGGTCAGCAGTCTTTCCCATGATTGTGATTCCTACTGAACCAGACTGAGAGACCATTTAAAGGCTCAGGAACCCTTTGCAGGTGTTATGGCTTAATTAGCTAATAGAGTGGGACACTTTGAGCCTGGAATATTGAACCTTAGAACAATATTCTAATTTTCTGAGATTGTGGATTTGTGGATTTCATGAGCTGTAAGCCATAATCATCTCATATATGACAAATCACGGCTTGAACTATCTTGCTTTGCATGTAATGAGTCTATCATTATATTAGGTTCACCTTTTAAGTTGCATTACTGAAATAAATGAACTTTTGCACGGTATTCTAATTTTTCAAGTTTCTCCTGTAGAATGTTTCTCGGGTCTTTCATTTTATGCCTTCGTTTAAAGTTTTATTGTGTTGCACTTGCCCCACCCCCAGCCGAGACTTAATATAGGATTCTAGCCAGGCTTTAACTGAATCTGGTCTTGCAAGGAAAAGAGAAAGACCTGCAGATGGTTTTTCAGGAGACAACTGGACTTTCTTGTTTTTCTTTGAAGACGTTTCGCTTCTCATCCAAGAAACTTCTTCAGCTCTGAATGGCAGGGAATGGAAGAATTTGTATGAGGAGCAAAACGTCTTTAAAGAAAAACAAGAACGTCCAGTTGCCTCTTGAAAAACGTGGGCGACCGACAATTTCCTTCGGTGTGGAAGAGTAGATCGCTGAGGGGAAACAGCGGTTTCCGCCCAAGATAGCGCAGCGCAGCAGCAGGAAGGGATCCTTTCGCGGCGCTATTCCTTTTTCTCTGCCTGGTGCGCGTTCGGGATCGGATCGAAGGAAAATGGCGTCAGCCATCAAGAGGGTGGCGAAGGTAAGCTGATGACGCGGAGGTTGGGAGACCCTTTTAGGGCTTCGGAGGAATCTCGAGGAAGGCGAAAGAGGCGGGCAAGGAAGGTTGTGCTGCAGAAGAAGGTCGCAAGCCATTGAAGTTGATAAGACGCGCCTCTTTTGAGGAGGCGACGGCGGGGTCTCGAACCCCCAGGTGTTGGGGGAAGCCTCTCCAGCAGGAAGGAGTAGAGATACTTGCTAAGCAACCAGACAGTTCTGAAGGCTTAACCGGGATGGGTGGGCAGGCAGTAGCAGTCTCCGGCAAGCCGCCCCTTTGACTGGGTTTACTGCGCGCCTTTTATTTTTAGAGAGCCTTCGGCAGAAATGATTTTAGCATCAGTTTTGAAATATTTAACTTCAGTTTTGGGTAGGGAGAGGGTAGCTTAAACGGGATGCTCACCGACACGTGGGCTGGAGAAGCATCTGTCTGTCCTGTCCTAGCATCTTTTCATAATTGGGTGCCCGGAATGCCTCCTTTAGAGCCGGAGAGGGATAGTTTTGAGCGGGTGGCCCTACTTTGAAGGAAAATGCTTGAGACGAAAGCCGCCAGAGAAAAGGAGCTCTTAGGTGCTTTCGGTTTCGTTTACTGCTAGCTAGAAAGCTTTCCGTGGAAGGAGGGAGGAGGAAATGGAATCAAACTGAAAAGCTGTTGAGAGAATGCGAAGCGATCTGCGACTCAGAAAAGCCATAAAGCAGATCTGTCCGCTGCTGGATATCAGCCATTGCGTTTTACAATGACTTGAAAACGAAAAGAAGATTCATTGGATTTCAACTCACGTCATTCCTCCTTAAATCCAAGATGAGAGCACTTAGGTTTGGGGGGAGGCTGGCATAGAAACATGCCAGCGTTGCTTGAAATGTGTCCGGCTGCTGTCAGCATTGATCTTGGAACTACTTTATGGTGTTTGTTTGCTTTTTTGTTGTATTTATTCGTTCATTCTTGTCTTTTCAGGAACTTGCTGCTATTAAGAAATTAGGGTGGAAATGCTTTCAGGATATTCAAGCAGATGTGACCAATATTCTCCTTTGGAAAGGACTTTTAGTGCCGGTGAGCTCAAGGGTGCTGGCTAAGAACAACTGGGAGTGACAGCTTGCAGGAGATTGTAATGTATTCGTTGGAATAACCTAGCATGTGGTCACTTCAAACAGTGATTTGGGTGATCATGTAAACACCACAAAGTATCAGAGTCTTTAAGTGGGAGTGGATTACATTTTCAATGTGGAGTATTAAAAGGTCTTACATATTCACCATTTGGGAAGGGACTGCCATCTTTAATTTTAATTTGGTCTGCAAGGAAAACTGCATTCCTTAGCCTCCTATGAATCATGCTTCGTTCCTGTCCTTCTATCCAGGATAATCCTCCATACAATAAAGGGGCCTTCCGGATTGAGATAAGTTTTCCATGTGAGTATCCATTCAAGCCTCCTACAATAAGGTTCAAAACCAAGATCTACCACCCCAATGTGGATGAGATGGGTAAATGCTGCCTGCCAATCATCAGCGCACAGAACTGGAAACTGGATACGACGATAGAGCAAGGTATGATATGCGCAGGATGGATAGAGCTGGGGCTGCTGGATGGCTTTCATTCAATTGTCATTTTGTGTATGTTTTTCTCTATTTAGGGAAGTGTCATTTTTAATCTTTTCTGCAGTAATTCTGGCTTTGATAGAGCTGGTAAATAATCCTAAAACAGAACCCCCTCTGCGCCCAGGCGTGGTCAAGGAGTTCGTAGAAGACCGTGAGAAATTTCTGTCACGGGCAGAAGATCACACCTGCAATTTCAGTGAGAAGCGGCCATGCAAGTGACCTGTGCCCACAAGTCTTTGTCTACCAATGGGATGGTAGAGAAGAGGGACCAGACAAAAAATGTGCATGGTGAAAATTTGTACTTTTCTGAGTTTAAAGCCAGAACTACTCATTTGGGGACCATTTATATGCTTGAATAAGCATAGGTTCAAAGTTAAGATTAATTAATTAAGTTAAAAATCTATGCCTCTTCGTGGTACGGATGAAAACCTGTATTACTTTCCTCATCCTGAAGCTAAAATCTATTGCCTGAAAGGATAGTTCTGGCTTTAAAGTCAGTATTGAATTTCAATAAATTTCAAATTGAACTGAAGAGATGACATAGTTTTCTAAAACAGAATGATATTTTACCTCAAAAGAGCAGAACAAATTAGGACATTTGCAAAGTTACAGGAGTACATTATAGAGTTAGAATTCCACAGAGAAAAAGTACTAAGCTTTCTGTTTTCCAAATACTTTCTAAGCAAAGAATAATTTATCAGGAACAATAGGAATACTTCTGGAAAAAAGAATATTGCATTTGATGCTTTGTTGCATGCCATTCTGTTGCTAGTACAGTATATCTTACATTGGATGAAGAAAATAAACATGTTCTTAATTCTTTTTAATTTATTCTTCTTCATATAAGTTTCCATTTTCATAGTCATTCCTGTAGTATTTTAGGATTGTTTCAAAATCTTTCCTTTTCAGTTCCAAGTTTACTTTATTTAATGTATTGTAGTGTTTCCCTTTTTTCTTAAACCTTAGTAATTGCATAGGCTGTGTTGCTTTTTAACTTTCCTCCTGTCATCATGAAATTATACGTTGAACTGACTTTCTGTTCTGTAATAAATGCAGGCTATAATATATTACAAATAATGATGCATTACTACATCAAAGATTCCTGATGTTTTATTGTTTTCATTTTCTCAATGTGAATTTGATTTTACACCTTTGCAGAGTTCTAACAACTGCTCACTATACAAGTGGCTTCACAAACACCTATTGTCAACAATACAACATTGTGTAACTATTGGTATGACATCAGTTTTGTATCAGTAGGCAAAACGTGTAGACAAAGCACATAAGTACCCCTAGAAAGAGATCATTATTTCAGGCATTGTTTTTGCCTATCTTATTTTTTTTCTTGCTACAATGAATCATATGCCCAGCTAAGAAGCAGTTCTGTGAAGTATAACAGAATTTTGCTAATAGTGGCGTGTCTAGTTTAATGAAAGGAAGGACTGGAAATATCTTCCAACATTTGAAGGGCTGTCACAAAGAAGATGGGGTCAACCTGTTCTCAAAGCACCTGAAGGGAAGACAAGAAGCAGTGGATGGAAATTTATCAAAGAGAGAATCAACCTAAAACTAAGGAGAAATTTCCTGACGAGCAATTATCAGTGGAACAAGGCCTGCGGCTGGATCCGGCCTGCGGGGTGTTTCAATCTGACCCATAAGGCCAGCCTGGAAAAAGCAAAGGACCAGCCTCTGGCAGCCAAAATGGGGCATGGGGCACAGCCCGTTTTCAGCCTGGATGGCCTCCTGCAGCACTTTGCTGGCTAAAACGGGGCAGGGGGGGGGGGGCGCATATGGTCCCTCCCGTGACCTGTTTTGGCCAGCAGGGTGCTTGCAAGAGACGTCCGTCCTGTCTCCCGCCCACCCACCTGGCCTGTGGGGATCCAGCCCTCAAAAGATATCCAGTTTGACACCCCCGTTACAGGGTTTCCTGAAGACCTCTAAACTCTTCCCTCTTCCAGCTCTGTTATTCTGCTATTCTGTTGGAGGTCTTAAGGCCATATCGTTCAGATTTTGAAATGCCTCAGTTGGGGTGGAGTGGCCCTCTTTCTAGCTATTGTCCATCTCCAGAGAGAGCTGTTGAGGAGGGAAAGCAAGCCTTTCGGACGCTTTTCCTCCTGGTCCAGTGCTTAAACGTAGGCCAGAATTCAAGCAGTGATTCTTGGTCAATGCAATGTGTGCGTGTGTATGCGTGCTGTTGTCTAGTTGAATCAGTCTCAGATCACAATGATGTGCACCAAGACTGTCCAGTGTCTCCAAAGATAGTTATCAATTATAAGTATCAGTTAAGAGTATAACAGAGGGGAAGTTAGAAGCAAACTACTCAAAATGTTTTCAGTAGTTTGTTGATTCTCGCTTTATTTGTGGTGTCTTTAAATAATAAGTAGTGGAAACTGTGGCACTCAGTGCAGAGATTCAAAAAGATGTCTAAAATCCTTTTCCTTATTGTTAAAATAAGAATAAAACTGTACAGTTAGTGCTCAGTATGTCATTGATGAAGAATTAACCATGAAAAAATAATCAAATATATTTAAATGGTTAATTCATTAATAATATACTGAGCTCTAATTGTACAACTTTTGTAACTTCCTTGTCCACTTACTGATACTATATTTTTGCATAATTTGTTCGGGAAAAGCAGTTTAAAAACTACCTCCAATGATTGTACCACTTTAAGTTTTAGTTCATATCTGACCTAGGAGAGAAGAAGTAATGAATTGCCTCTCATTACTTAGAAAGCACAGCTCCTTTGAGCTTGAGCTGAGCAATAGAGCAGTATTATACCACTAGATCTTGTTTTCCTACAACTTTCCTTGGACTTGCTTTCCTTTCAAGCCCCACCCCCTTTCTTTCTTTTTTTTTTAAAGTGAGCTTTTCCTCTAAATGTTACTTGCATTGGCCACTGGAAATAGGCCTGTAAAGGAGTATGTATTTCTGCAAACTAAAATACCAGCATGTACACCTGTCTATTGTTTTCAATAAATAAGAAACAGTTTGCAGCTCTCCTTCCTCTTTAGTTCAGGCTTGAAGCCCTCCTCCTCCTCCTCTTCCCTTTCTAAATATACTGTGTTTATATTGAAAAGTGGGAAGAAGACTCAAAGTGGGGACTTTTACACTGAATTGGATCCTTTTTTGCCATCTTGTAAAATGAGCTGTCTTCCGAACAATTTCAACCTGATCCTCCCCCAAAGTCCTTCCAAGCTGCCGAGAACAGAGCAAAATTGCCACATGTAAAATCTCTGAGGTTTTCATTGCCACACATTAAAAGCTTTGCCATTTGATGTTTGTCCAGCACTTTTCCTGTAAACCAACAAAGGAGGGAATCCCCCACTCCCTCCAGTCAGCTTGTTTATTCTTAGCCTCTTATCTGCACAGTGTGATTTCTTTGCTCAAAGTTCAATGGTTTGGGGAGTAGCTGAATGCAGAGGAGCTTATTTCTTAGGAAACAAACATAGGATTGGGCCACGTATGCCGTGTTGCTCAAACCATTCTAGTATGCCCGGGCAGCTACTTCAAACAGAGCATGTTTGCATTCTCCCTTGGAAATCAGGCTTGTAGGCCACCTGAATGGCCGTTGCTAAAACAGAATGCAGCATAAAAATACAGTGTGACAACCCTGACTTGGTTCAGTTGTGCTTTAATGGAACCGGTGCCTGGTAAGGGAAAGGGTGATTGCAGCATGGGTTGCAGGAAGGCTTTTGCAATTCAAAAAGAGGACGCGGAGTTACTGATGATAACATCTGGAAGGACATGCTGCTCTTGAGTCATGTGTCTTTGGGGCAGGCTCAGGTCTGCTTCCATAAACATCAGATGTGCTGACATGACATTAGGAAGCGTTCCTTTCCTGCTCTTTTCAGGTGGCAGAAGGGTGGCCCATAGCAGACTTTAGTCAGGGTTAAGTTACAGTGGTTGATTCCAATGCCTTACTCAGGAAATTGCAGAATATACATGTCTTTTAGCCTGGGTACATCCCATGTTGCATTCCATCTGAAAAAAATAAAAATAAAAATCCAAATTTGAGATGTCTTGGAGAAAACACAGAAGCCTAGCACAGCGGATGGTTCCAAGCATAGTTTCCCAACAACTGCTATCATTTCTACAGTGTTCCTAAACGGGTTTATAGGCCAGCCTACCTGACAATTGGATACAAACTACACCCCTATGTTTCTTTGAAATCCTACAAGCTTTAATGTGGAAAAGATCCAGCTGTTGGTCTTTTCCCAATTTAGAGGCCTCCACTTGTGTTGGACATGTTGACTGGGGATCTTTATGCATGAAGCCTCATATCTACAGGGCACCTGGTCAGTCATTGCTAGAGTACTTTGCTGGTTTTTCATCTTTTGCCTGGGATTATTCTTTCACAAGTAATTGTCGTTATGTACCATTTTTTACTGCATCAACATGCTCCATCTAGACCTCTAACATTCAACTGGAACTGGAAACAACATTTCTTATCTAAAAATAAAATGGTCTTGCAAGCCAAAATGACTTATCTTCCCAGTAATGAGAATGTTAAGATCCCTACCATCAAAATAGACTTCTAGTGACCTTTAACATCTTTCTTAATCATTTATGTGTTATCCTTTGTTGTTTTCCACTGACTAAAGTAGCAACATCATCAATGGACATTTCCATTTAAGGAGATACTACACTGCTGAAAAAAATAAAGGGAACACAAAAATAAGACATCCTAGATCTGAATGAATGAAATATTCTTATTAAATACTTTGTTCATTACATAGTTGAATGTACTGACAACAAAATCACACAAACATTATCAATGGAAATCAAATTTTACAACCCATGGCAGTCTGGATTTGGAGTTACACTCAAAATTTAAGTGGAAAAAAACACTACAGGCTGATCCAACTTTGATGTAATGTCCTTAAAACCAGTCAAAATGAGGCTCAGTAGTGTGTGTGGCCTCCATGTGCCTGTATGACCTCCCTACAACGCCTGGGCATGTTCCTGATGAGGTGGCGGATGGTCTTCTGAGGCATCTCCTCCCACACCTGGACTAAAGCATCCCCCAACTCCTGGACAGTCTGTGGTGCAACGTGGTGTTGGTGGATGGAGCGAGACATGATGTCCCAGACGTGCTAAATTGGATTCAGGTCTGGGGAACGGGAGGGCCAGTCCATAGCATCAATGCCTTCGTCTTGCAGGAACTGCAAACACACTCCAGCCACATGAGGTCCAGCATTGTCTTGCATTAGGAGGAACCCAGGGCCAACCGCACCAGCATATGGTCTCACAAGGATCTGAGGATCTCATCTCGGTACCTAATGGCAGTCAGGCTACCTATAGCAAGCACATGGAGGGCTGTGCGACCCCCTAAAGAAATGCCACCCCACACCATTACTGACCCACTGCCAAACCGGTCATGTTAGAGGATGTTGCAGGCAGCAGAAGGTTCTCCACGGCGTCTCCAGACCCTGTCATGTCTGTCACATGTGCTCAGCATGAAACTGCTTTCATCTGTGAAGAGCACAGGGCGCCAGTGGCGAATTTGCCAATCTTGGTGTTCTCTGGCAAATGCCAAACGTCCTGCACGGTGTTGGGCTGTAAGCACAACCCCCACCTGTGGACATCGGGCCCTCATACCACCCTCATGGAGTCTGTTTCTGACCATTTGAGCAGCCACATGCACATTTGTGGCCCGCTGGAGGTCATTTTGCAGGGCTCTGGCAGTGCTCCTCCTGTCCCTCCTTGCACAAAGGCAGAGGTAGCAGTCCTGATGCTGGGTTGTTGCCCTCCTACGGCCTCCTCCACATTCTCCTGATGTACTGGCCTGTCTCCTGGTAGCGCCTCCATGCTCTGGACACTACGCTGACAGACACAGCAAACCTTCTTGCCACAGCTCGCATTGATGTGCCATCCTGGATGAGCTGCACTACCTGAGCCACTTGTGTGGGTTGTAGACCCTGTCTCATGCTACCACTAGAGTGAAAACACCGCCAACATTCAAAAGTGACCAAACCATCAGCCAGAAAGCATAGGAACTGAGAAGTGGTCTGTGGTCACCACCTGCAGAACCACTCCTTTATTGGGGATGTCTTGCTAACTGCCTATGCTTTCCACCTGTTATCTATTCCATTTGCACAACAGCATGTGAAACTGATTGTCAATCAGTGTTGCTACCTAAGTGGACAGTTTGATTTCACAGAACTGTGTTTGACTTGGAGTTACATTGTGTTGTTTAAGTGTTCCCTTTATTTTTTTGAGCAGTGTATATTACTTGGTAGCTAATAAACTAACATGGCATTGAGATCCATGAAGGAAAATATACTATATCCCAATAAGAGCATCATACCCAAATTCTAAGGGTGGGACAATAATATTGGTTATGCAAAAAAAAAAAAAAAAGGTAAGATTTCCAATGAATATGTTGGAAGATTTTTAAGTTAAATATGAAACCTTAATTTTTTTTAGCCCTAATACCTAAGCACATGTAGGTGTTCAGAGCTAGAGCTGGAAGATGGGGGAATAATTTAAAAATAAATTACAACTGAAATTCTTCTTTGCCATGTGCTACCAATGAGCAAGATCTCAAACCTATTATTTTTCCATTTCCTTTGGTTTTATCTAGTTGCACTTAATGTGATTCGAGAATTTCAAGAAGGTGAAATGAGAGCCATAGAAACCTTCTTACCTTCCCCCACCAAGTTTTTCTATAGCTTCCAATGAGCCTCAAACCAAAGCCTGCTTTGCATTTCTATTTCTTCTTCGTCTTTACTAGCCCTTTCTCCACCAAACTGCGATAAAGTTCTTGGACATAGGTGTAGATGCACTTATTATCAGGAACACTCATGTGCACCATATCATCCACCTCCAGAAGTTGAGCACAGTCTGCATATTTCCTGGAAATAGATAGACAAATAGTCAACTATACCCCAATGATTTGGCAAAGCAAGCTTGAGTATAGCCCTTCACCCCCAGAATTAACAAGCCTTATTCTAGAGAACTGGATCAGGATGCAAAGATTTCCAAAATCATGGTGAGGTCCAAGGAGATAGTTAATTTAAACCTCTTGCCTTTTAAAGTTGAATAAATTTAATTATAGCACTAGAGCAGGGATGTCAAACTCGTGGCCTGTGGGCCAGATGCGTCACTCGCTGGCCATGGCCACCCCCCAGTTTAGCAAAGGGGGAAAAAGTTGTGATATGTCACGTGACAACGTGACAACGTGAGTTTGACACCTCTGAACTAGAGTCACACTGGGGATACCATAAGCCACTGAAATTATTTTGAAACTCTGGGGAACATGATATAAATGCAGAACCTACTCTTGCTTTTTATCATCTGACTATCATTTTCCTTTGTTCAATTATCTAGCAAGGACTCCTGCTTCTTTTTCAGAATGGGTCTTTACTCTGGCTATTCAAAGGCTTTGAATTCTCTCCTTCAGAGTTTAATGTTACCTTGAAGCTTGACATTTATTCAGCCTCACCAGTATACTAACTGATTTAGCAATTTTGGTAAGAGGTGTCCTAAAAGTAATTGTCTCTTGCTGCTTGGTTTGCATCTGCTGCATTTTTTAAATGTGCTGTTTTCCTCCAAAGAGTAGATAATTACTGATTATTATTTATGGTTTGTATACTACCTCCAAGTTCAGAGATACAATAGTGTGCATGCCAATACCACTATTGAAGGACAAATGGGAGGTTGCTACTCAAGATTTATGTTTAACTATTAAAGAACACAGTTCTGGTCTAGATTAGACTTTAATCTAATCCAGAGGACACTTAGGTTGTTATGATAATGTTCCTGAAGGTGTGTTGATTTCTTGAAGTTTCCTATTTTATTATGCTTGTTGAAGGTTGATCAACTATGACATAACTACTTTTTCCTTGTAAAGCAATCCCTACTGTGTTAAGCAGTTGTGAAGAGCTCCTTAGCAAACCTCACTATGTGCCAGTTAACAATTATTTCTTTTCAAAACAAGAAATGCTAACAAGTTAAAGATAATAATTCCAGGCTTTTAAAATTCTATAGTCTGGTTTCAAGCTTAGCTTTGGGCCAAAATCTCAGTTCTGATATTGCTAATTCTCATAGATATTCTATAGCTGGATGTTTCAATACTTTTGACTATATTTATATTCCTGATCCTGGCTATCTGAGAAGGAATATGGGTCAACTCAAAGAAATTGGGAAACCAATGGAATTAATAGCAGATAACTTTATGGATTGGAGAAATGAAGGTCAGTCTCTTTGTAAAAGTCTGTATTCTTCTTTTAAAATTCAGATTCTCAGCTTAATGGATCCGTGTGAATGTTAGATGGGGATGCCTAAATGCTAAGTGTGAGCAAAAAAAAAAAAGTCATTTGTCAGTGGCAGACACCCCTAAATATTGTAAATATAACTATGTATTTCTCACAGCAATGAGATTAGACTATTGCAGTCTGCTGCATGTGGGTTGCCTAGAGAGATTTTTCATAAACTTTAAAACTGATCCAAAATATTGCTGCTAAATATAGATAGGATTGGTTGGTTAGAAATATATGATGCCAAACTTTTAGCCACCAGTCAGTTTGAAAGGAAGCTGCAAGATTTCAGATTGTACATCCCACATGGTATGGAGCTCAAGTAACGAATAAAACTACACAAGCGTACTTACATATGAAGATAATTCTATATGTTTTTCTCTAGGTTTCCCTAGTTAAGGAGGTTATGTGCCTCCCTGGACTTTCCACATCCTGCTGCTTATGAGTAGAAGGCCTTTTGATCATGTTGCAATTTTAATCCCTGTTAAAGTTGGCAGCATTTGCACATCTGCCAGTTTAATTGATCAGTTATTGGACATGGTTTTGATCTTTTGTAACACTGTTATTTCATATGAACTATATAACAGTAGAGCTGGAAAGTAAGACAAAAGTACTCCAGAGAATAACTTCACACATTTACATGGTACACTTTCTGGAGGTTACTACTCATCCCTGACTCAGCCTGCCCTATAGCTGTGGTTGTGGCCGTAGGTCTAGAATGGAGGGGAGTGCTCACTCAGCAGTAGAGAAGGCCAGGGTGAAATTATCTTTCCGATTTGTTGGGTCAAGGTTTGCATAGTCAAAGGCATCAGGAAAGAACTTGTGAATGAGGGCACAAAAAGCCATGCCACTTTTCCAACTGGTAGAAAAGTTCTGAATGTCCACATGCTGAAAATGAGAAAAAGAGAACATTAAGCACAAAAGGTCAACCACGTCTCCTTTTTTAGGTTTTCCTGCACTAGCAAGTGACTGAAACATGCATTCCTGCCTATTTAATAGAAGCTTATCATTCTGGTAGAACACATTGTTGGGTTGGAACAAGTTGTGTGAATGGATTTACTTTCATATGACATGAAATAGTAAAATATGGCAGTAATTTGGGAGCATTCTGAATCTGGATTATTGTGTTAACATCCTCTCCTTTTTGAGCATTGTTAATTGTAACTTGGAAGCAAAAGGAAAACATGTAAGGATGATGGAGAATTAACTTACTGCCCCCATGTGCTCAGCATTCTTACTTCACCTTACTTTTATATTTTAGAATTTCATATATTTGCATCATTTATCTCTCCGTAATCCTTCAAACCTGCCTGCATTATAGGTCATGATTTGTGAAGCCATCATTTCTGATACACGGCACACATTGCATGTAGCAATGGTTTCTTCTGTTCTGCTGGATGTTAGTGCTATTGTGATAGGCCCTGTGTTCTGTAGTACATGAATTATCAGTGCATATTTCACCATTTTCACTGCGTCCTAACAGTTTCACTAAAGGTTAGGCATTATAACTTCAAAGTATCTTACAATCTCAGTATGTGAGCTATATTGGCTTTCAACTAAGATTTTTAGTTTATGAACTCATTCGGTTAACTCTTTGAGTAAAATTCAACATCTGAATGTAAGACATAATGAGAAAACAGTACAGGCTAAAATTGCACATGTGAGTCTTCATATTTGCATGATAGTGAGTATGTGCTGGTTAATAACAAAGAAATACCAATAGCATACAAAGAAGTACAGTATTTCTTGACCTAGTTCACAGAAGAGAGTATTCTACTATGATCTGTGATGACCCGGAGTGTAACACAAATGTAACAAAATCCAAAACGTAAATAAATGTCCTTTAATCCTCCAACTTGGCCCCACTGTTCAATAATTCTCAGTTGGAGATAAAACCTATTCAAAAATAGTCTTTAAAATAAAGCAATACAGTACGAACTTAATGAGCAGATAGAGGTGAAATAAAAAACCCAAAACAAACTACAATGAAGGAAATTCCACAATGGACCAGGATAAGTAATTACCAACTTCAAGAAGATAACAAGGCACAGTCTGTTGGAAGGACGCCAACAAAGATAACTTCAGCCCAAAATAAAACACGCTTTGCTTCTGGCAATGCTGTGTTTTAACCATCTCTCTTATATACTATTCTCCCCAGCTGCAACCAATGAGGGGGATCATGGCCACTTCCTCTCTCATAAACCACGTTGCTTCCTTCTCCATTCCTCCCTGCGTGTCCTAGGATGAAGAGGGGATGGGCCTGGTTCTTCCTCTGACTGCCCAGCCGGCCTCTGCCCTTCCCCAGCCTCCTCCACAACCTTCGGAGCCACACCTCCACTCCCTCTCGGCTGTTCCTCCTCTCCCTTAGAATCCCACTCTAATAAGGGCATGACATGATCCCTCCAGGGTTTTGGTCTCCAACTTTGATAAAAAACAGGACAAGAATTTAGAATGCCATCAGAATCTAGAAATGTCCCTGGGATTACTGTATATATAACAACAACAACAAAAGACAATACAAACAAAAGATAGCATGTGGGGGCTTTGGGGGGGGAGGTGCTATAAGTTCATAGTCGTTAACTCTGAGTAGTGATGCTTTCCCAAATACTCTTTTAAACCCAGAAAGGTGTACACTCACTTCTGAGTAAGCATACTGGAGTAAGTTTGCCAGAACTAGAGGAATATTGTCTTCACATCTCTTAAATTCTGACCATCCACATAGGCCTTCCTGCTGTTGCATTATTGGTACCTCCTAAACCTGATTTCACCTTCCAAGGGAAACCAATTTGCCTACTTCACTTCACATAAACTTTTAAGGGCACTGGAGCAGTTCTCATTTCATAGCTGATACCTTACTTCATAGCCACGGGTCATGGCCCGACACCATTCCAGCAACATGGTCTTCACAGTGTTTGTACCTCCAGTCCTCTTGATATTGGGGGCAGGACCAGTTGCAGCCCTTTGGAAGATGATTAAGGGAAGAAAGGGAGGGAATAAGAAGGGAAAGAATAAACATGTATTTTTTTTAATCGTACACAGATCCTATGGCTGGTATAAGTCCCTTTTGCCCCATTACTGCATTTTCTGGTGGGACATAGATCTGCCTGATTTGTAGCAATATCTGCTATCTGATTTGATTATGTAAACATGTATGGATTTTATAATTTGTGCAAGAGAAACACTTGGTCAAAGCAAGTTTTTTTTTTCTAAAGGTGCTGAATATGGTTGTGTTTTTGTGGTGTGGGCATTTGCTGCCCAATATCTGAAGTTTATTACAGTTGGATCTAGTCACACTTCTTAAACATGTCCCCTTATAAATGGTCTTGGATGATAATTGTGGCCAGTGCTGTCTGGGGATGATGGATACTGCTTGGGAAAGGCTGGGTTTTTATATTGTGGTAAGGCAAGTATGAGTAACCCTTAGCTCTTCAGGGATTATAGAGTTTTACTTCACTAAGAGCACAATTGGGTGATACAGTGAAGCAAACAAGGCAGTACTGTCTGTGCTACATAAATATATGTACCTGGAATTTTGGGGGTTTCTTTTAGGGTTGGTGGGATTGTTTTTTTAAATGTTAAGGTACACTGTCTGACAAATATGCTTCATTTACGTTGCATGATATCTTCCTTTTATTGAATGGCCCTTCAATAAAGCAGCGGTAGCATATGTAAAGTTCTATATCAGGGCTGTTAAACCCGCAGCCCGTGAGCTGGATGTGTCACACGCTGGCCACACCCACACCGGTTTAACGAAGTGGGGAATAGTCCTGATACGTCACATGACGATGCAAGTTTGACATCTGTGTTCTAAATACTCCACTTCCTTAAGAACTTTGGAAAATCAGATTTGGGTGTTGTTGTTTTTTGTTTCGCTAATCTCTCACTTCAGCTATGTGTGAAGCACAGTTTCCTTCTTTGCTTTCTCATTGAACAGAAGGCTTGTCATACCCCTTGCCTCATAGCTTATGTTTCAGCCAGCCAAACCTGGAGAAAACTTCTCAAGTGCAGTTATGCTGGTATGAAACCATACATTCCTGCCAGGATTTGTTGGAATACTATATTCATCATCAAGGCTGATCTGGCACCATAGAAGAAGGCTTTGTTGGCTTCTCAGCATTTGCCAACATTTCCCCAAAGCAATCCATCCATTGCAATGACCCAGATAGCAGGCAGTCTTGATTAATGTTTTGTAAACCACAGACTTACAGCAGTTCATTTAGTGACAGCTCAAAGTTCCCATGATACTGAAAAAAAAGTGACTTATGGCCATTTTTCACAGTAACGACCTTTGCAGGACCACCAAGGTCATGTGATCAAAATTAATATGCTTGGCAACTGGTCTATACTTATGACCGTTGCTGTGTCCCAAGGTCATATGATTGCCTTTTGCGACCTTCTGACAAGCAAAGTCAATGGGGAAGACAGATTCACTTAACAACAGGGTTATTAACTTATCAACTGCAGTTATTCACTTAACAACTGAGGTAAAAAAGATCATAAAATGGGGCAATACTCACTTAAGAAATATCTCACTTAACAACAAATATTTTGGGCTCAATTGTCGCCATACGTCAAGGACTATCTGTATTGGACAAATGCACGACACTGTATATGTGAAGGGAAAGGGTTCCAGAAAAAAAGGGAGGAGTTTCTTTAATTTTATTTTTATTTTGGTACTTTGTGAATTCCTGCAAAGAATTAGAGTTAGGAAGCTATGGACCAGATGGTTAGAATATTGAGGCAGGGAGACTGAACTCTTATTGACTGCCTATCCTAGGTATGTCTGCTTGTCTCGGTACTCAGATACTGAGTATGACTGTGGCAATAGAAGAGAGGTTGAACAGTGGATGGCACTGAATTAGGCCGTATGATAAACACATTTGGGAGTTGCATACTGTGAGAATGAAACAAAGCACATTAAGGATGTTTTGCAAATGGAACAAATTATCATCCTCAATGCATGGACTATTTTAGGGCTTGTGTTAAATTATTCATTTGTTTTCAATCTCAAAATGTCTGGAAACCATGCTGCAGAGTTTTACCGGTAAGTTGGGCAGGCCACATACAGCTGGAGAGATACTGCCCACTCTAGGGCTAAGACATACCAATATAATTTGCCTCGATTTCAGTTTACTGTAAGGCATGAATTTAGCTGTCGTGTTTTGCAAGCCAAACTACATAAAGGTTTATCGGTATATCCATCAGCAGGGCTGAACAAACTGTAGTGAAATGAGTTATGGCAGAATCTGAGGCACAGCGGCCTCCTTACCCTCCAAACTTCTCCACAATGGCTTTGCGGGACTGTCCCCTGGGTGGCATCCTCGGCCTGGTTATCTCTCTCCGGTCAAAAGCAGGCCTCTTCTTTTTATCTTTGGTAGCAGCTGCTTCCTCTGGTGCAGCAGAAGGGGCCTCTTTCTCTCCCTTCAGGGCCGCTTCAGGGCTGAGAACCAGAAATAAAAACACCCTGAGCCTGAAGCACTGGAGAAGTGGCACCAGGTGAGTCTCTATCCTGGGTTTTCAGGGAGAGCCTCTCAGAAGAGTTGGGTGTGATGGCTCAGAAAGGGGAAATCCCTTTCTGCCCGCTCTTCAGTAAAGAATGCCAATCGTTTGGCTCATAGTTCCCTGGAGAATCATGGTTAAAATCGTCAACAGTTGCAGCTAGAAATGTGAAGATCCAGGGAAAAGCTGAAGCACTACCAGCTCCAGTTTTGGCTTCTTCCCAATTTTTTTCATTCACCACCCCAAAGTTTCTCTTTGCCCTTCCCAATTTTCTGAATGTTCACATCTTTATTAGCGTCCTCCCTTGATTTGTCCTTGGCTAGAAGATGAGGTTCTAGCCCAGGGGTGTCAAACTCGCGTCATTATGTTGTCATCATGTGACACATTGCGTCTTTCCCCGCCTTTTCTAAAATGGGGTGGGCATGGCCAGCGCATGACACATCCAGTCCGCGGGCCGCAAGTTTGACAAACCTGTTTTAGCCTCAGCACCTCCAGAAGGCATCCGGTTTGGAAGCCTGACATCATATGCCCACCTCACAGCTCTCCTCCAAGCTTTAAGAATCTTTTCAGCAACCAATTTATGACCACAGAAGGGTATGTATTAGAAATCTGAAGTCCTCGATTGGAGGTCAGGGTTTAACCTTTGAGGAGAACAGTTCTCCTCACTGTTACTACTCCTTGTCCCATTTTGGTCAGCCCACTCATTGCTGAACTTTGATTTCTGAGTGCCCCCTGCAGAGTAAAAAGTGGTAATGCAGCCTCTGGGATGGGCAAAAGATGGAGAATTTTTAGCATTTTTTAGTATTTATTTGATTTGTCAATCGCTTACAAGATACAGGTATAAGAATAAATATAGTTTTGAATACATGAGATAGATACTTATAAGAAAAATAAAAAAAAAACAATAGCACAGGGACGGTAGGCACGATTGGTGCGCTTATGCACGCCCCCTACAGGCCTCTTAGGAAGGGGGTGAGGTCAATAGTAGACAGTCTAAGGTTAAAGTTTTTGGGGTTTGGGGAAGAAACCACAGAGTCAGGTAGAATATTCCAAACATTGACCACTCTGTTACTGAAGTCATATTTTCTGCAGTCAAATTTGGTGCGGTTAACCTTGAGTTTGTATCTATTGTGTGCTCTTGTATTGTTATGATTGAACCTGAAGTATTCATTTGCAGGTAGGACATTGCATTGATTTGCAATCAATTGTCAAGGATCTTTTTCTCCCAATGGTTTAACAAAAGGAGCCACCAACTCACCCCTGCTTTCTTCCTTCTGTATCTAATGATAGACCAGAAGTGGGGGAAAAACTTTGAGGAAGAAAAGTTCGTGTGTTCAGCAGTATGAATGATATTTAACTCTGAAGCTCAATCTTCTCCTCACTTCTTCAATTCCTAGGTGAATATTTATTTGTTTAGAAAATGTATTTGCTGTCCAACTCGTATCCAATGATTATGGATATATCTTTTGCACCAAGCTCTGATAAGCGATTATCAGGCTTGTAGATAAATTGCTCCCCCAATGTATCTTGTAAACCTGAATCTTGTCCATCTCAAATGTAGCCCACCCTCTAGAAAGGCTTCCAAAGATTATCTCACCTGGTGATTTCCGCTGGAGCAGCTTCTGGAGCGGTAGTTGGTGGAGTAATGCCACCTAGATTGGATTATAGACATGTTATTAGTTTTTCTTACCTTGTGAATGAACCTCCGTCCCATGTCTGAACTGTGGCCTCTTTAATCTCCTTTGTATCTTACCCTCATCCATGTTTCTCAGTATAGAAAATAGCAGCAGATGGTTTCATAAATCATTACAGGGAAATGGAGAAGAGACCAGCCATAGGGACCGGGGGCAAAATTGGGATTCCTGCTTACATTGTCAATAGCTGGTGGAGTTTTAAGAGAGGTATCAGTGAAGGTCATGAGAAAAAATGTCTTCAGGAGGACTGGGCAGTAATGCAGGAAGTTATGGAGTCTAGAAACATTGGTTGTGGAGAGTTTTGTTATTGTTGCTTCACTGGTAAAAAAAATTAAAATGATTTACTCAAGATTAAGGTCCAGGCAAACTTTTTAGGATAAAGGGTGGGCAATTAATTTTCCCAAGGGAATTTCCCCATGAGAAACTGGGACTGTTGTGGAAGGCCACTGATGCTGCCCTGCCCTTGGAGCCCCACTCTGCCACCCCACTGATGCCACAGGCTGGAGAGGGATAGCCGAAGAGTCAGGTGTGACCCATGGGCCATAAAATACTTAGGTCTGTTCTAGGAGGTATTATTTTAAGCAAGAAATCCCTGTGTGTCGCTTCTCCTTTTAGTCTGTTCTATCCAACTTTAGTGTATTCAGTCTTCTGAGTTTGCTGAATGACGTTTTCCTTACCTGTCTCCAAACCTTTGAGCTCGGTTGGGCTTTGTGGACTTGCTTCAGGAGAACGGGGAGGGAATTCTGGCCAGAATTCCTCCTCTTCCTCCTCAGGTTCTGGTGAAAGAGGCTCAACAGAAGTGCTGCCACTTTGACCCTGCAGGTAGGGAAGGAGGATTGGGATGGTCAACCAGATTAATTTCTTTCTTCATTTGATTTTCTAGATTTATATTCTGTCTTACCTTCAGCATCTCAAGGCAGCATGCATAGTACTTTCTTCTCCTATAATAACTTCCCATTGTGATTAGATTGGGCAGAGAAAAAGTGACTTTCCCAAAGTCATCCAATGTACTTCCTTCAGATTGAGATGCCCCAGTCTAAATCCTTATCCCTGGCTGTTTTGTTCGTAAGTTGGCCTTTTAAAGTTCTTGTTTTGTTATGTATTAATATATTGATAAATAAAAAACAGAAATGATAGTTTATAAACTTCTACATACATGGATTTCCTCTTTCTATTGAAAACCTTTCCTTGCTATTCTTCCCTTGTGCTTGCTTTCTAGCCTAAAGAGCAATAGTTTATCCAGTTTATATATTATTATGCTTATTACAGGGTGGAAATTCTGACTTTTTCTAATCAGTTTCACAATGTAAGCAGGGAATTCAATTTTTTTTCCTAGTCAGTTTTAAATAAACAGTACTTTACCTTTTATAAACTCATCTGGCAAAATCTCATCAAAATTTCCTGTAGGCTTTCCTACCAGAACAGGTGCCGTGTTTGCATCCAAAGTTTACCCAATTTCACTTATAAGTAAGTAATGCAAGTAATGCTAGTTTAAAGTGATCTCCTATCTTCATAAGCTCAGAGAAACCTCTAGCGCAGGGGTGTCAAACTCGATTTTATTGAGGGCCGCATCAGGGTTGTGTTTGACCTCGGGGTGGTGGTGGTGAGGGGGGCGTGACCAACTTGACCAGCATGGCCAGAGTGGTATGGTCACTCATGTTGGGGGCGCCTGTGGCCCGAGCACTCTGTCAGAGAAAACTGGCTCCTGAGCTCTGTTTTTGGCTGCGACAGCCTCCTGCAGCCCTCTGCCAGCAAAAACAAAGCCTCCCTGAGCTCCATTTTTGCTGGCAGAGGGCTGCAGGAGGCTGTCACGGCCAAAAACAGAGTTCGTGAGACGGCTCTCTGAGCTCCATTTTTACTGACAGAGGCCCCACGGGCCAGACCTTTGCTGTTTCCAGGGTGGCCCTGAGGGCCAGATCTAAGCACCCTGTGGCCCAGATCCGGCCTGTAGGCCTTGAGTTTGACACTCCTGCTCTAGAGTCTAGAGGTTGCTATGCAACTATAGAACAAGGACAAATGCCTTCCTTCCTTCCTTCCTTCCTTCCTTCCTTCCTTCCTTCCCTCTCTCCCGCCCTCCCTCCCTCTCTCCTTCCCTCCCTCCCCATATCTGAAATCCACAAAGGGAATTGCAATGGCATTAAGATAATTCTGAGAAAAGTTAAGGAAGAAGTTGTGACATTCTTTGAATGAGGACATTAAGTTTTGAAGGTTAGATAACCTTAATTAATCTATGTTTTTGCAGGCCTTTTTTTGACGATTTGGTAGCTAGTTTCAGTGGCAGAAAATCAGTCATTTGTGGGGGGCTGTAGGACAGTGACTGGGAATAGCATATATATGATGGATCATCTACTCAGGCTATAAAAAAAATCCCACTTCTTTCAACCAACTTCCCAAGGAAAAGTTCATTCAATTTTAGTTTCCTATGAGGACCTGTGGAAGAATAACACAGCTTCTTTGCTTTACCTGTCTTTACCAGACATCTTATGATTAGAAAAACTAGAAACAATGGTGAAGAAAACTAGGCAAGTTAACATATAAATGTGTTGTTATTTAACAGTTCTTTCACATTCTTTGTGAATGGTTGAAGAATAGTATGGGTAGTCCTTGACTTACAACAGTTCTTTTAGTGATCATTTGAAGTTACAATAGCACTGAAAAAGCAACTTTTGACCATTTTTTCCCACTTATGACTGTTGTAGCATCCTCATGGTCACATGACCAAAATCCAGATGCTTGGCAACTGACTCATATTTATGACGGTTGCGGTGTCCCTGGGGTCATGTGATCACCTTTTGCAATCTTTTGATAAGCAAAGTCAATGGGAATGTCAGATTCACTTAACAACCAGGTTACCAACTTAAGAACTGTAGTGATTCATTTAATAATAAAATGTTTGAGCTCAATTGTGATCATGTCGAGGACTATCTGTATAATAAAACTTGTCTTGCTATAAAATTGTATCTGTATGTTGTAAACATAATATAAGCTGACACATAGCTAAAGGGAGACAAATTAAAATTAGTGACATACATAAGTCTGGGTAAGTGTACTTTGTCCGTTTATCCACCAACATGAAGTTACATAGACTAAAATAATGTGACATGAAAATGTAAGGTAGGAAGGATAAAAATACTCTTGATGTTTTATAGAAAAGAAGCTAATTCAGAAACTAATTCTCTTGAAAGAAAAGAAGCAAATGATTACAATTTGAAATGCATTCTATTCTCACCTCTTCCTTGGCATTTTTCTTCAAAACATCAGCCTTTTCCCCTTCCTCTCTCTGTAGGTCTTCTGGTTTTCCAGAAACATCATCTTTGGCCTCAGATACACTTTCAGATACTGGTTGGCTGCTGTCTTTGACTTTCTCCTCCTTCTGGTTTGCCTTGGATGCCTCCCCCTTTTCAGATTCAAAAGTGTCTCCTGTAGATTCTTTCTTCTGCTTTGCCTCAAGTCTAGCAGCGTCAGTTTCCCCAGCCTCCTTCTCTCCATGCACCTCATTCCCAGCAGCCACCTTTGCTTTCTCTGCTTCATTTGCATCATCCAACTCTTTCCCAGTTTCTTCGGCAAACTTTCTGTCCTCTTTAGTTTCTTTCTCAGCAACCTCTGCTTTTCCTGCCTCACTCTCCCCTTCAAATGCAGTTTGAGTCATTTCTGACTTCTGCTGCAGCCCATTGATCTGCTGGTTCTTTTCTTGTTCCTTGGCGTCTCCAGCCTTCATAGTACCAGGTTTCTCTGTTGTTCCAATTGAGTGCAAAGTAAGTGGCCTATTCACACGCCACTCCTGGAAATATATATAGTGAAAAAAATAAGCATGACATCTCAGTATTAAAGGTTTCCACTTTTTTACACAAATGAATAACGTATATTGTAACTGTTAATTTGCCCCAACTGCTTGGGCAATCCTTGGCATCTCTAATTTGCAGTTAACATGTGATCTGACTCTACTGAAAAGCTGAGGGCGTTTAATGTGATGAGGGACTATTCACCCAAAGAAGTCATCAGTGAACGTGTGTGTGTGTGTGTGTGTGTGTACATGTTGCACTGAATACATTTTATTCCTTAAGATTTACTGTAGATGACAGCAGCAGCAGCAGCAGGAGGAGTATGGAAGGAGAGGTTGATTTCACAAAACCTTTCTTCTAAAGTATATGGCATGCAGCTAAGAAACTTCTACAGTTTTCAGAACAGCAGCTGCTGTTATTGAACATTCTAGTGCAAGTGGGGCTGCATTTGTGTGCATCCCTCTATGCTTCTGAACAAAGGAAACAACATGACCTACAGTCTCATATCTCATGTGTGAGATCACAAAACATGGCTTAACACTGAACCTGGCAACATGTGCTTTGAGTATTAACAGGCAGAAGAACTATGCACACGGCTAAACTCACCAACCTCTATCTGGGTTAATCCAGTACATTTTTCTGCCTATGACAGGGTAGCAAATATTTCTCATTCCCAGCATAGATACATGGTGATATTCCAAGTAAATACAGTATAAAGTCTTTTGGCATGTAAGGCAACAATTCTGTAGACAATCTCCTCCTCCTATGGCAGTAAAAACACAGCAGTCATAAAAGTTTTAGAAGTTGCTATTCTTGCCTCTTTCTGCTTAATGCTGAGATTGATCCCGTCTGAAAACACTTCAAAGGAGCAAATGATTGAAGCACAAGTTAGGCCCTCAGAGGCTGGGAAACTCCTGTCCTCTTCCTTTCTTATCACTTAGTAAATCATCTTTAAATAAAACCTGCCAACGAAGTCCAGGAACAGCCAGTGACTCAGACATGGAAAGAGTAAGAGGCAGTTCTGGGGAAAAGGGGGCAGGTGAGTGGCTGTAACACCAACTAAAAATACCCTCCTGACATTTGCAAAAACAGTGGAGAGGTCAGGATGCCTAGAAGCCTCTTAGCTTGCTTTGCTTAGTACCCCGTTATTCTTCTGTGGGCTGTAACTCCATGTTCTATTGAAAGCAATGGATATGTTAGTTTTTAATTACTAAACACATGGTATTGCTCTGTCAGTAAAAGTGCTCTGTCAGTTAAAAAAGCTACACCATATATTATCTGTTTTTTTATGTCCGTGCTTCTGCTATCCTGTTTGCTCAATATATGAATTGTAGGGGAAGCTTCCTATTGTTTCAGGAAAGAAAACTTTTTCCTGAAAAAGCGTGAGAGAGAAAGAGCTACAAAAAAAAAGGCCCTCACTGAACAATGATGACTGGGTGTAATTTGTCTAAAGATGGGAATCTTATCCAAAGAACCATTAGCAGGTAATTGTGTATGTCCATTGACTGTTTTCAAATGTATTTTTCTACTTTGCTTTCAGCCAATCATCCTTCCTGAAGTGGGCTCTTGTTTTTCTCTTTCATCTCCACATTTCTGCCTTGGATTTCCAGTGGCATACTCATAACTCAGTAGCATGGTAAATTCTCATACTATAGCATCTGTAGAAATCCCTAAGTGTCCCTTCAGTATGGGACTTTACTAAAGTATGAGAATATCCCTAATACATTTGGGAAAAATATATGTTTTTGTTCAGCTAAGAGGTAGCACTTAGCTGACCTCGGATGATTTAAGAATGTGAAACAGAGAGGAGCTTATTAGAACCAGAATGGGAAAAAAAACCAGGCCTGTAGGCAGGACTGGGAAATTGAAAAAGCATCCTGGAAGGGTAATAGCAAATCAGTTTTGTAATGCTGATGAGATACATCCACAAAGTTATCAAGAATTGAATCAGATTTGAAGGAAGTATCAGAGTATATCTGCTGGGATAATGGTGCAAATTTCACTTCTCTGCTGGAGCTATAGAATACATTCATTAAGTGACAGAAGAAATTTGAGCAGATTAAAAGCATTTCACTGAATAAAGAAATATTTAAAACCTGAGCATGCCAGTCACATAGAATATAGGGCATTGTTTAAGCTAGATGCCGAATATTGTGGTGAATTCTGGAAGATTGAGTATCACTGCCTGCCTTATTCTTGTCCTTCTAATACCAGTTGATGCCTTTCCAGCCTTCGAATATGCAGAAATGCCATAAATTCCTTGAAACCAAACTAACTAAAGTCTGCGGTTGTGGACAAATCCTAAAGAGTATAGTCCTTTGTAACTTTATTGAAATTGGTTTATATGAGATTTGTATCAACTGTGGTATCTTTATTTTTCTCTTCAAAAAAACAAAACAAAATAGAAAAGCAAAGCAAAGCAGAAGTTCTGTACCTTGCTAACTCGCATGCATTTAAAATTTAAAGCTCTATGAATATGTTTAAATTGAAGATATATTCCAAAGCTCCTTGAGAGCTCCACCATAGAACATTTGCTGTTTTCCTTCATACATCAGTTTTATTTTCTTTTTTTCTATTAAATTTTTATTAGTTTAAGTATAAAATACAAAGAAAAAAAGATGTCAGAAACTGAAAAGGGTAGACAGAAAATAAATATAGTGTAAAGAAAAGGAAAAGGCACCAACTTCTGACTCTCTTTAGCACAGTAGAAGATAACAATATTACAACCACAACTTTTTGCTTTTACACAACAGTATGTACAAGCCATTTCTATAACAATAAGACTATCTAATTAAAGTTTCATTTTTTTGTCGTTGTTGCAAGCACAAAATCCGGAAGCAATTTCAGAATAGAGAAAAGGTTATATATTCTTTACTTTGGATAAAAGAATCAATTTAACCATCGCTGCTTCTCTTTGCTGTGGGGAATAATATATCATTCTTTTTTTTTTTTTACCCTAAAGGGAGAAAACACTTTTTTTTTTTAGTTTTGGTATTTTACAAATTCTAAAGAGCACTAAGGTATTTTATGTAAAGGAGAAAAGTGTTTTCTCAGAGGTGTCACCATTGTGTAAAAAAAAAGAGAGAGAGATTCTTGGCCTTCAACAGAAACACAATAAACAGAAATTCAAATGGTGTACCTTCCAAAATATACCTTTACCATGAACAAAACTAGAAAGTTACAGATTCAGAGTAGAGATAACACATTTATTGTTTACCTGAGGAAAAGCATTGCCTAACTTAGCCTTCAATGAACATTTAAACTGAATATTCCAAAATAATCTCAGACGTATAGTAAAAAACACTATTAAAAAACATGAAGATAATTCCATACAGCATATAAAAAGGCAACATAAAAGTAATCAGCAGTACATCGAAAAGCACAGGAAAACAATCCTGTGATAAAATAGGTTGCATAATATAAATTTGGTTTAAAGAGTCAGTGAAATCAAAAGCTGTGGGTCTGCTGCTGAAACAACTAGAATAAACACTAGTTGAGCCTTTTTGATGAACTAATGCCACAACCAGTGCACTATCCATGAGAAGGCTCTGTTTCTGATCATTACTTGCCACCCTGAGATATGGTCCATCTTTGCTCTTTTGAAGAATTCTCAGCATCACACATTTCATTACTTTTCTTCTTTTCTACGTAGTTCTCGGTGTTCTTCAGTGTATACTTTAAAGAATAACTAATTCCTATATATAACCATTCTTCTTATGTCTCCTAAATTTTCTTGGGAGATAGGAGAGCATGATATGCTTTAAATATAACTTCACCATGAAGTTTCCCTCCCATATCTATTTCTCCTTCCAGAGTTTAAGAATCCTACCTGAGCTCTCTGGGAATTGAACATGGTGTAGGAGTCATCAAATGGCCATCTCCTTATATCTTGGAAATAAACACTTACCTGGAGTCGCACCTAGGAACAGTTCTTTAGCGAGCCCAGAGTCTACTATGGTCCATCTAGAAAGACGATGCTCTAAAAATCAAACTTCACCTACCTTTGGCAGGTCGTTCCCTGAGACTAGCTGACTTTCTTCGTGTCTTCTTTCTCCTGGCTGCTTCTGCCAGTATCTCAATCCCCACTCCTATCACTATGCCTGCCTGAAGCATTTCTCTCATTGTTTACTACTCTGTTGATACAGCCATTCTGTGACGGGTAACTAAACACTCCTATTTTTATCAGGAAACTAGCAGGTGCTTCTTTCAATCATAGCCCCTACTTCTCAGAAGGGCCAGATGGAGCCAGGACAAGGTAAAGAGAGAGAGCTGCTGGCAGCCTCTTAGCAATTCAGCTCAACATTTCAGGGAATCATAGGAAAGAACTAGTTTTCTCTTTTAGGCGGAAAATGATTTCTAGCGAGCTGCCTGTAAGAGATTTTTCAGCATGTGTATTGGTCTCTTGAGGCATCAGCTATATGGGAGAATACTCCCGTGTTATTAATAATAGACATAGTTTCCATAGCCTTTTGTCACTTCTGATAAACAACAGACATTCAAAGGAAATTTGAAAGGTGGCCTACAGGGATTCAAAGAACATTTATACAAAAAGCAAAGGAAACTGCTAGAAGACTTTAAAAAGAAGCCATATCCTTAAGAGGATAGAAGGAGCTGTAGAAGTATATGAAATGTTTCCATTTAGAGCAGAACTGACATTTATGTTATTTAATGTATACAATGTGTAAGAGGGGAAAAATTCTAAATAAATAAAAGCAGGAATCCAGGCTCTAGTGCTGTTTTTCCACTGAGGATTAGAGATGATACAATGCAGGACGTTGGGTGAACTGACTTTACCATACTTCATTTTTGCACTCTCTTTAGGATGGGTTTAGCATCACAGAAGCCCTGGGACACTCTCCGTTCTTGAAAAGCAGTCAATTTTACAAAAATGGAGAATGTCTAAAGGAATATTGAGACTTCATCATCCTTAATGAAGTTGAATATTTAGTTTCATCAAGAGACAAGTGCACCTCACTCATCTCGGATAAAGTAAAGAGAGCTTTGCTTGAATTATTTTAATTTGATATTGTAGCTTACATATCAACTGTCAAAAATTGAGATATTTGGAGATTTTGATACATTATATATAAAGTATGAAAACAAAGCATGTTTGCGGTTGAAACTAACCTTCATTCTATCTCCTTCCAACATGGATTCCCACTGGCTTCCATGGAACAATATCTATTAGGAATGGTTAGAGTTCTAAGGGACATGCTAACTATGCAGATCATATTTAGCATTTACTGTAGATAGCAATTTCCAAAGATGCAATGTCAAAAAACATATTCATATTATGATTTGGGCAAATATGTTTTTGAATATCATCACTTCAGTTACGTTTCCTTGAAGAAAAAATATCTTCTATGATAGAGTTAAGTTGCGCTGGAAACACAAGTTGCACAAATACCGTCAACAATCTTTCCCCCATCTTTCACAATCTAGCAGAAAGTATTTGCTGTAAACACTGCTATGGGAACAAAACTGAGATAGCTCTCTGCTGGAAGGAGCTCATGCTTTAAATATACGATTTGCTAAGGGCTCTGGTAGACTTAGTTTGTAATGTGCTCCTGGGGTGACAGTGAAAATCTGGTGAAAACTATGGGATTAACCTCTTCAGTATGACAGTTACACAACTCCAGTTGGTTTTACCCACTTATTCATTTCTGAAGCCACTCTGACGCCTTGTGGCCAAACAAGACCGAGTTCCTAAAATTAGACTACAACAGGGACAAGACATAGGGATGGAGAACAGTAACAAGAACTGCATTATGATTCAGAGATTAAAAACAAACCTTACTTTTATTACACACGAGCTTCCTCACCAGAATACAACTGGAAGAAAGGCATTTACTTTATGAAGCCATGCCCAGTTGTATAGGAAGAGTTTATTATATCAACAATCTACAAGCAGAAAAAGACTCACTTGTAATTAGTGTTTTGTCTCCAAAGACAAATTATACACAATGGAGGTTGAAACCATGTTGGAGGTTCTGGTAATCTTCTTCCTAAGCACTGATTTACTACTTTTGTTCTTCCTAAGCTGCTTTCATGACATGTTGATGTGCCCCAACATTATTAGAATTTATAAAAGCAATTAAA